TTTGGAAAGATATGATGTGACTGAGATTTTGTACATACAACTATGTGTGGGTTGATTTTGCTGTTTGCTTGCAACTGTTTCTTGCTATTGGTGATTTATTTGATTGTTGTTCATTACTTTAATAGTAGAGATTAATTTGGTATTGTGGTTGTTGGTGTTTCTACAAACTTGGCCAAATATTACACCGTGAGACAATTGTGACGAAGGGAGTAATTCCAAGTGTGTGGCGCAGATTAGAACTTTCTCATGTACAACTTCATATCCATCAGAGTTATTTCTTTCAACTTCTAGAATAAAGTATTTTCTGGTCGCAGTTCGAGCTATTGCAAGCTAAGCATTCTCTGATCACAATTCCATCCACTTCCTGCCATAATTCACAAGTTGATAAACAAAGGACAAATGGAATTTGACAAACTAGTACTTCCTCCGTTCCAAAATAGATGACTCAATTTTGGACTAACTTTAGTACAAAGTTAGGTCATCTATTTTAAAACTGAGGGAGCAAAAGCGAAAGGGATGCAAGCGGACGCATATCCACGGTGTCCACAACGGGCTGTTGCTTTAATAAATGTGCAGTTCTAATTACACACTTGCAGACGTGACACCATCCGCCTGCATCCCTAGCAAATGGCGGAAGAAAAAAACAGGCAGAGGGTAAAGCTAATTTGAAGATCAACCAGCAATCACCTCGCCTTGATTGAGAAACAACTTTCCAGATGATTTATTTTTTTGGAAAAAACTACAAAATGAGTGATCTGAGTCTTAAAACAATCATTTTGCATGAAGAGCAGAAATCACACCACAAATAAGCCTTGAGAGGACAAAACATCACACAGGTATCTTTGCACAGCATAAGGTCAACAATTTGACCGTTTTCCCTCGAAAGAAATTCAAATGGATTCCCAACATATGTTTTGTATACAAACATTTTAACCGGATTGTCTTTCACCATAACATAAGTTACGTGATAGTGGTTACCCTAGCATACCTTCAGTGCTTGGCCAGCTAAGATGATAAAACCAGTTGATCATGAAAAGATTAATATATTGCAGAGCGCCAGAGCCCATGCAAGCGCACACATTTTTCTTATAAAGGTAAACTAATTATGTAAGGATAAAGATATTGCATTTGAATTTCTTCCAAGTAAAAGAAATAAAAAAATCAAAACAGAGGCAAAAGATTTGCCTCGTCTATTAAATAAGGGAGGAACAAGGTTTAGAGTTTTACAACACCCACATACACGGCATGACAATTACTCGCGCAAAAAAATGACCCCTAGTCTTTTTGCACCAGCGGTGATCCAGAGCTTTGCCTCCTCCAAAATGGTGCTGAGAAGGATAGGGGGTGGCCTGCTCTTATGGCGGAACACCCTCGCATTTCGCTCATTCCAAATGGTCCAGGAAACAAGCATAGCGAGGGAGGTCATAGCACTCCGGTTGGGGATGTGATTGTCGGTTCTCTTGTCCCACCAATCGCGGACGGAATCGTGAAGGTGCCAATCGGTGGTGTCCATGTGAGCAATGCCAAGCTTTTCGATGATAGACCTCCAAAGCCGGAGCGTGTAGCGGCACTTGAAGAAGAGATGTGTACCCGTTTCTTGCTCCCTCGAGCAAAGAGGGCATAGCCCACAGTTTTCCTAACCCCGTCGCTCCAAGCGGTCCGCGGTCCAG